CCTGACACCAACTTTATATTCTTTACGGCGCCAGGTAAAACCTTTTTATTTACCTATTATTTTAAGGATTGAAGAATTGTATCTTGGTTTTAATATATTTACAGTTGAATTTTGTTTTTTGTTTATTTTTGTTTGTCATCATATATGTTGTTTATTTATTGTAAGTCATTAGGGAGAATTTTCGTGTAGGATGGGGTAGAAATATTTTAAATAAACAAACGTGTTTAAGGCGAGACAGTAAAAGAGGAAACAAAGGTAACACTGGGTTCAGAAAGGGATTACATTGGATGGAACTCACTAAGTTGAAAAAGACTTTCCCAGAGGGGCTAATGGTGTTCTAATTTTGGATTAAATTAACAAGTTTGGAAAATATATCTATATCCTAAGAGCTACGTTATTTGTGGCCAGGATGCTGTGACACTTACTAGGGTTATGCAGGCTTGGTTTTGAACTGGAGGTAGGGCTGATAATCAGTGTAGACTGAGTTGCAGCTATGGGCCCTTTCTAACAAGGGTTAAGCACTTTTAAATAAGCATGCACTTAATTCATCCATAGAAACCAGTACAATGTTTTTTAAAATGTTGCTTCAATGTCAGTGGTTTCTACTCTGCACAAAGTAACAGGGCAGAGCAGAAGGCTTGCAAACACAATCCTGTTAAAAGTTTTAGGAAATTTGTATTTAAAAAAAAAAGTTTTGTGAAGCTGGAGGTCTAAAGGTGCAGCCTTCAGTATGTTTGGACAGAAAAAAGTCCAGCAGTTCTCAGCATTCCTGAGGCAGCCATGCATTATAAAAAAAATCTAAATATGCAGAGGAATTTGCTCTAAATACTGAAACAGCATCTTATATTCATCATGCTAGAAATAGGTCATTCATGAACAACATTATCTGTTGGTGTTTTCTGCCTAGATGCTGAAGCAGATGTATCAAGTGTTCCCAAACTCATCTCTATTGATATAGCATGAGTGGTGAACAACAATTGTAGTGTTACACTCGTGTATTAACTCAGCCTTCTCAACAAATGGGAGGAAAGTTCACATTTTGCCACTCAGTCTTTCTCTGTGAGTGCCTCCTGAGCACAAAGATTTTCATTTTAAGAAACTCCATCTTTTCCTTGTAGGGTGTAGCCAATGCCTTCACATATTATTAAATGGCTTGGGACCACGATACCTGAAGGAATGTCTCCTTCCTTATATGCCCTCACGCCCCTTCAGATCTATGGGGGAAGCCCTACTCCAGGAACCCTCTCTAAGAGAGGTAAAAAGGTCATCAACTCAGAGTAGGGCCTTCTCTGCTGTGGCACCCAGACTCTGAAATGTACTCCCCAGAAAGGTACACCTGGTGCCAAGTTTATACTCTTTTCAACGCCAGGCCAAAACCTTTTTATTTTAACAGTATTTTAAACTCTAATAGCTTTTTTAGTTTAGTCGCTCTGTTTGGTTTATTGTTTTGCTCTGTTTTATTATTGATATTGTTGTTTACAAGTAGCTGGAGAGCAGCACTTGTGAAAGGGACCTCGGGGTACTGGTTGACAGCAGGCTAAGCATGAGTCAGCAGTGTGATGCGGTGGTCAAGAGGGCAAACGCCACCCTTGGTTGCATAGCCAGAAGTGTGGCTTCTAGATCGAGAGAGGTATTACTACCACTCTAAACTACTCTGGTACGCCCGCAACTGGAGTATTGTGCTCAGTTTTGGGCCCCTCATTACAGACAGGATATAGCCAGGTTAGAGTCAGTGCAGCATAGGGCCACAAGGTTGGTGGCCGGTTTGCAGGGGATGGGGTATGAGGCGAGACTGAGGGAACTGGGTCTCTTCAGCCTGGAGAAGAGGAGACTCAGAGGAGATATGCTGGCGACATACAGGTATGTGAGGGGATGTCACATGGAGATGGGTACAGACCTGTTCTCCCCTGCAGAGGAAGGCAGGACACGCTCCAACGGAGCAAAGCTCAGGGAGCCAAGGTTCCATTTGGATGCCAGGAAGCACTTCCTGACAGTCTGGACCCCGAGGGTGTGGAATGGGCTTCCACGAGAGGTCGTTGAGGCCCCATCGGTGTGGGTGTTCAAGGATAGGCTGGACGTGCACATGGTGGGCATGTCGTGAGTGGAGCCGGCTGGTGCCGGAGGTCAGACTAGATGGCCAGGGAGACCCATTCTGACACACTCTGTTTCTATGTTTCTATGTTTAATTGTCCTTTTAAAAATTGTAAGCCATCCTGAGATCTTGTATAATAGGGTGGCATACAAAAGCTTTTAATTAATAAATAAATAAATAAATAAATAAATAAATGCAATGATTATTTTGCCGTGCTTGCTTCCCTTATGCAGCAATAACCTTAAAATGACTATTGCTTTCTATATAATATGAAAAATAACTTAGTTCAATGACCTCCTTCAGTCATCAGATCAGAGTGCACAACATTGTTCTAGTCAGGGAGGAAAACAAAACACAAAACCGCTCTTGGACAAAAGGGCTTAGCCTTCAAATGACAGGAAGAAAATAAACTGCTTAAGGACACCAGCGCTCGCTCGCTCGCTCGCTCGCTCGCGCGCTCTCTCTCTCTCTCTCTCTCTCTCTCTCTCTCACACACACACACACACACACACACACACACACGCACAGTTTTAGGGGGCTGAAATAAAATTACATTTCAAAGCATAATTTGTATCTCTGAGCCTCCTTGTATTCATTTCATCAATCAAAGCAAGGAATAAACTCTTAAGTTATTCAAGGACAAAAATTCTTATGATATTCAAGTCGCGCTGATTTCACTGAATGAGTCAAGCATGTGCAATCTTATGCAAGTCTAGACAGAAAAAGTCGTACAACTTTCCCCCAAATCCTCTGTCTAAACATGCATAGGACTGCACCCTAAATCACTCTCACTGAAATAACTGGACTTAAATATTCCTACCTTTTAGCTAAATTATACTGTTCATTTTTTGGAAGAAAGATTTGGATAAACAGAATCCTTCCTGCTATTATCATGAATCAATTGAATGAATAATAATTAAAACCGCATATGCCGAGTCATTTTCCCACTCCACACCAGCACACTAGAAGCTTTTTTAGGAGATGCACCTGCCCCAAAGTCTCCTTCCACAGATATTCAGCCTTGCATAGCCTACAAATCAATGGTTTTAGGTTGTGATTAGAAAATATATCATCTTGCCAAGTTTGATGGATGATGCAGAAACATTGCTTATAAACATGTACGAGATACTTTCCAATTAGATCCCCGTGGATGAAATACAAAGATGTAGGAATCCTGTATCACTTGCTGCTTTTCATAGGTGTTGAAAATACCAAGAGGAAACAATCCATTTTTCATATCCCCAGAAACTGCATTGCTACACAAGCTACAGATAGATCATTAAACCTATCTATCTACAAACAGATGATTAAAACCACATCTGCTAGGTCTGTAAAGACCGCTTCAGTCTCCTCTTTTAGAATATTTGACATTTGTTATGAGTGACAGTATGATAATGCTTTTCACATCCTGTAATAAAAATTAAGAATAAAGGCAATATGTTGAATCCAAACTTCATCATATTTAGAATAGACCCACTGAAATCAATGGGATGTAGTTGTCCCATTGATTTCAATTGATTTACTCTAACTATGACTAAGGCTGGATCCAACCTATAATAATAGTTTGAAATTAGGTTCTTCCCATAGTACTCAAAGATACAGTAAATCAAGATAAATCACAACCAGCAAACTCAGTATAAAAACATTGCACTTTGAGAATATTTTTTAAAAACTTCTCTCATATCCTAAAGGGAAGAACAGCAATGATATTATGATCAATGATCCATGTGCAGTAATGCTGATTCCAGCTGAAATACAGTTCTTTAGATTGCTTTTGTTTGACAATGTAAGTCTCTCTTATGTCATAATATTGCAATGGGTTTTTCTGGTATGAAGCTCAGAAAAGCATAGCATACTCCAAAGCTGACAACAGGATTTTGAGTGGATCTAAGTCCGACTTGGATCTAAGTCTTAATGGCCACTTTCCAGTTTAGAACTGAACAACAGAGTTGTCATCGTGGGAACCACCTCCATGTCAGAAAAGATTGTGCAACTGTTATTAAAACTATAATCAAGAGAAATGGATATGCACAGTGAAATTTTGTCAGCAACTCTGCAGTGTGCATGGGTTTCTCTGGGCTGGAATTGCACATAATAGCAACCATTGTCTAAACTGCAATGTGGAGAATAACACTCAGCTTGTATATGTATTTATACAACTCTGCATTGGATATTCTCCAAAACATATCCAACATACCTACTCAACTTGCAGCAGGACATCTCCACATTATGGTGTGGCTGCTTATTTGCAAGGTTCCCTCATCAGCTGGACTATTTAGAACAAGAGTGCAGCAACTCATGAGCTGATTAGGTAAAGGGCAGATTAGTGGAAGCCCGCTTTGGACTATTACTGCAGCCCACCAGGGTGTATTGTGGTGCAAGGTGGTGGTCATTCTGGATATTCAGACCATGGCAGGTGGTTGCTGAGACTTGGCAAAGGTTTAAAAACCCCTTACTTTATGAGTCATGCAAGGGTTGAAGCCACTCTACCTACATGTACATAACACAATAAGTCATGGTGACCAACTGCCACTGCTCTGATATTCAAACTGGCCATTAGAACATACCATTCTATATTTTCCTTTCTGTTTTTTCAACAACAACAACAACAGAGCAAGCATCAAACCATTAGAATTTAGAAAGCCAAACAAGATTGTGATGATTGTACCAGCTTGGTTGCTCTGTCAGTCTGTTTGCACTGAGAATAAAATAAATAAGTGCTAGCATGATTAGGTTTGAAACCAACGAGAAGCCAGTCAACAACGATCTGCCTTCTGTGACAACTATGGAACATGCCAGGTACTAGAGGGATATTCTTTGTAAAAGCAGCTGAGGACACAAGATGTTAAAAAGATGTTAAAGGACACAAGATGTTAAAAACTTTCAAAGAATCAACTGTCCAACATACCCTCCATGACGTATACGAGTGACCCCACGTCTCCCTCTTTGATGATGCAACTGTCTTTGCCATATTCCACTGGATACATACAATCCACAATCTCTTGGATCTGAGACAGTTCTAGATTCTTCATGAAGTCATTGTCAAGGATAGCTTCCTTTATTAGATCTTTTGACCTATGACAAGAAAGGAAAAATGTATCTATATTGAGCGAATGTCACCATTTCCCATCTGATCACTGATGTGCTTGAGCAGAAGGATTTTAATGCTTTTATAAAGTCAAAATCCAAACCCAGCAGAACAGAAATGAAAAAAGACAGAAGGTTCAGAATGGATTTAAGGATGTTCTTTCTCACTGATGAACCAAGAGAAACATCTAACCATTCCAAATATTCTCACTATTCTATGCACATTAACCACAAAAGAGACACTGAAACAGAACCATTAATGTCATTTAGACAATATAACATTTGCAACAATGCATTGGGAATTCTTTTTGTGGTTACATCATCATATCAAGTCATTTCCAACTGTTACCTTCAAAATTAGTTGCACTACAATTCCCATAAACTGCAGGCTACTAATGATAATGGGACTTGTATTCTAACATATCTGGGCAGCACCAGGTCACCCCTTGTCTTGCCTCACCTTGCCAAAGAACTTATGCAAATATCAGGTTCCCTATAAAACTTGAATGGTCTTGGGCTATGGATTTTAATGAAGAGTAAAATTAGTGTAATGAACATTGTAGAGTTAATAGATACATATATTTTTGTAATTTTTAAAAACTCATTAAGACGACAAGGTTCTTCAATTTTGTTACGTATAACTGATCTCTAACTTTTGAAAAACCATTCCAAAAGTCCCAGTAGTACAATACTTCTACAATACAGGTGGGAACAATTCTTTGTTTTCCATAATTCCTTACAAAGTTGTTAATGAAGCATCTGAACAACACTTGACAGATTATCTCCTTCTTCGAGTCACTCAAGCGCAAATGTCAACCATGCACTACTCATCGTAATTTACATGTTGAATTTCCCACCAGAATGTCTATCAAATCTACGTTTATCCATCGGATAATACAATGAACAGCATAAAGATTACAGACAATAATTGTTTAAAAGCCACTTAAGGGATTTTCGTCTAAATGAGCACCTGAAAAATGTAAACTTGAACAAACCTAGGATTAAACAACAGAATTTTGATATGGGAAGATTCGGAATGTAAGTATAATCATATATCCATGTCTCTTTGTGAAACTCTGTTTTTTTTAACCAAACAAAAGTCAAAAATGGCATTGACTTATTTATTTATTGAATTTGTTTGAGAGATGCCCATTAGCATCATGGTCTCTGGGTGGCCATTACATTAAAATTCAAATACAGTAACATTTTCATTTGTCACACTTCATTGTTATTTGATTCATTTGATGAATCTGGTCATTGGGTTCATTGGTATACATGAGGGAAGAATGCTCTTCAACCTCAGACTTTCCTGTGGTGAACTGCTTGTCTGCTCATAATGCTGAAAGATCAGTCAGCCCGCTGAAACTGTATTAAATCACATCAAAAATTGGATCCCTGGGCATTTTAACAACAAACACGGCAAGTAACACTTTTCTCTACCAAGAGGCATCAAGCGATCTATGAATGTCCCAAGAAGACAGAGATGCATCTTTTCCACAGCTACATCCACAGCACCACAGAGGCTGCGATGCACACAGTCTCTTTGGTGGGTGATCAAATCAGTCTGGGTTTCAGCACACACCCAAACTTGGCAGCTGCTAGCACCAGGTAGGTGCAGAAATCTAAAGTGCCATGCATAATTATATTTATGCCTCTCCTAGTCTTCCAGGAAAAGGCAGGATAAAACTGTCTTTACAACATGTCACATGAAATCAGTCTGAGAACAGAGCCAACACTGCACTATTTTCTTCCTGAATAAAAGCCAACTTTCAACTTAAAAGCAAAATAGACATGAAATACAAAAAATATACTTGCAGCTTTATTTTGTGTGAGTCCCTCTCTCTTCAATGGGGTTTCCACCCAGCTAAGTCTGCACAGGATTCCAGACTTAATATTTCTAACTGCTCAGTCTGTCTCTCAATCTCAATGCCATGATCTTTGCTTTCCTTTTTGATTCCTATTGGAATCTTTCATCATAAACGCAGGATGTCTTTCTCCCTTTTTGAGCTGCTGAGCATCCCTCTCACATTACAGTAGGATGCTTTGCTTGGTTGACTGCCCTGACCATGCCCTTTCCGTTTTCTTTCTTTTATACATATTCAACTTTGAAGAGCTAATGCATTGTCTGCTGCATGGGTGAAAACCCTTGTGGAAATGATCAGGAGGTCAGAAGGTCCAAGGGCAATGTACAGGAGAAAAAATACAGCTATCGCCCTTGGGCACCTTTCCTGCAATTAACCGGGAGTATGTAGCATATAATCATGACATTATTAGAAGCAGTTTCATCAGCATGGCAAATGCCACCATTCTAGCTGCTCCTGTACAGCTGCTCTGATCTAGTAAAGAATGGAGTGGGGGACCCTTAAGAATGAGCCTGAGGCCATCTGGTAAACTGTAAACAGCTGAGCTGAGTTGTGGAAAAGTTCCCAGAACTATGTTCTAATCTGAACATTGAGCTGGGAGGTGTGTATCGCCTTGGTTTGCTCCAAACTGTGAACCACACAAAATTCATATCCATCCTGCAGTTTAGGCATAAGGCCATACCGTGGTTTGGTACTCTGCTGATGAACCTAGAATAAGGTTGAGTTTCACAGAATCCCTCCTATGCTTGCCTTTGTACGCTGCCATTATGGTTTATGATAGTTCTGTACAAAGTTGGTTGGTACACTAGTCTTGGAAATTACCAAAACATGTATGTTTCAGAGGGAAGCCCATTTTGCTGGGAGTGGACAAGCACATCCGAGACAAATCCCTCAAATAAATTGGAGATATGCTCAGTATTATTATACACTTCCCCCTAATATAAATCAAGCTTCAAATGGAGAATTTTCAATTGATTGAATGGTTCTTCTGGATCCAGTCCTGTAGCTAGGGCTGGAATTAGGACTGAAGTCCCGGCCCACAGCCAGCCTCTTCTCAGTGACAATTGAGAAGTACAGCAGAAGCAAAGTCTATTGTACTCCTTTAGTCATGATGGTGCTGTGACAGTTTAAAAAGCAAAACTGCACAAACTCCTATTTATTATTGCTATCATTATTTTCATCAAGATGAATCAACGGTTTTGCTGCTGTCATTGTTCGGTTAGGATTTAATGTTCTAGGAATGTAGAAGCAGTCATAAAACCTGGGGTGCTGGTGGGCACAAAGAGAAATGTTAGCTGCATGTTTCACAATTGAACTGATATAGCACTGGGGAAGGCTAAACTAAAGGGATCAAGAAATCCCAGGTTTAAAATTGCCTGAGTGGATGTAACATAATTGGACAGATACATCCCAGTAGTTTAAAATGGAAGCAACCTTAAATCTTGGAGTCACCTTTCCTGTAGCACAGAATACAGCTCCCTGACACAGAAAATGTATAAATCCTACACCAGTGACCTTCTTCATGTTGGTTTTCATGTTAGGCACAAACACAAATAATAGAAGTAAGTTTCAACCAAAAAGGCATACAAGAAATATTATTAAAGTCATTGCACCAAATCATTTTCATACTGTCAAAATCTGTTGTTTATCGAAGTGCTTTATAGAACTCCTAGAATTATACTGTTTCTGTGCACAAACAGCCCAGTAATGCTGAGTGATAACCATAGCATCAATAACATTAATTCTAAAGCTCACTCTCCACAAACAATATTCACAGCAGCAAATTCCATTTGAAAGGGATGTCTGCTTCTGAATTTCCACCTTAAAACCACAATGCTGGTTTTGGAGTGGGCATCAGTAAGTCCTCCTCCTTCAGTTCCTATGTCTCCTATGCAATCACTGTTTCTGTCTTGATTTCAGATAATTTTAACTATGGAAGTCTAAAAAACTCTACTGTGAAAGCTGGTTGAATTTCACATGCTGCTGTGAGTCCTCTACCGTCCCAGTCCTATCTTACACTGCCCAGTTTGTTCATGCTTTTATCCTACCATTTACTAAGTAAATGTTAGACCAAATGCACAACAGCCGCAACACAGTTAAATAATGAAAGAATCTTCCCTCAATGATGCTTTGCCTTAGCCATGTATAGTGATACTTGGTGCATCACTAATGAAAATGTTACCAGTACACAGTTGTCATCTGTGGTAAGGTTTAATTTACTACGAAGACAATGAGAACCATTGTCAACAAAGCTTCCCTCACACGTACTGATTCTTTACCAGGTACCTGTCAACTAGCGATGATTAATTTCCTCATGGGCATTTAAAGAAACACAGGTTACATCTGCTGCAATTTATTATTAATTTATTGATTTCTAAACTGCCCAGAGCCCAGAGTTCTCTGTTTGTTTTTACAAAGTATAAAAACAATAAACTACAATAGATAAAAACATTAACAAGAATTAAAAATTAGTTTTAAACAGTATAAAAGAACATTAAAACGCAATATAAAGACCCAGCCATAAATAAAAGGCACCGGGCTAATTGTCTCAGACCCCTGAATGACCAGGGAGGTCTTTAAGGGCCTCTGCAAAAAGGGCTGTTTTAACCTGGTGCCAAAAAGACGGCAAATTGCATGGCTGAACAATATTGTCCAAGCACGACCTTCCGGGGGTGGCCCTCCAAGTGGGAGTGCAATGCAATGCCCCCCACTCTCAACTCATGTGTTCCAGAAGAATGCCATGGTCAATGGCATCCAAAGCTGCAGAGAGGTCCAGAAGCAGCAACAGGGGTGCACTCCCTGCCTCACTCCTTGCATACGTCATCACGTGTGCCATGTGTTCCTGTGCCAAAACCAGGCCTGAACCCCATATGAAATGGATCCAGCTAATCAGCCTCATCCAAGAGTGCCTGGAGTTGATTGTGTGTTGCTGCCCTCACTGCCTCAACACAGGCCCAACTGTTATCACATGCCAGGTTTCCACTGCATTCCCTGGGAGCCCTTCATCTGCACTCCAGCCGTCTCCTGATTTGTTTCATCATTCTCAGCAATACAGTATACCATGGAGCTGTGTGGGCTCCAGAACAGAGAGGGAGCTTAGGAGCAATTGTGTCAACCAGCAGGGTC